GTCTGCCGTCTCAGGATACGTTGGTAAATTATTTGCAATCACAAATGTGAGATTTCAGGTGGAGAAGCTGGCACTTAGTGGATAAATACACTGTTGTTGCGAGACTTGTCTGACGGCGACAGCTCTGATCTTTTTTTGTTGTGTCAGAACTGCAAGTGTACGATACAAACGGAAAGGTTCCTCCGATAACAGTTGACAGTAAAGATAGTGTACTTACTTAGTAGGCATTTTATTAAACTGATGATCTGGATTAACTCACGCATCCGCCGTCAGAGAGCCGAAGAATATTGTTTATGGGCAGTGGATAGACAAATGTTACATTACTGAAAGGAGCTAGTTGCGAGACTACGACAATCCGTGGAAACAGCAGCAATCGACAATACAAGCCGTCACTGTTTGCATCGCGGATTGCGGAAATAATAAGCTCAAGTGCAGCTGACACAGAAGGCGCTTAATCAGGCATAGTCCTCACCAGTGAACGCGAGTGTCCTCGAGATTTGTAGTTGTGGCACGATGGCAAGTCTATCATCTTAATCCTGAAACCCTTTTCTATGCAATTCAACTGTTGCTGTCGATGATTTTAGGATTGAATCCAAAACTTCCGTCTCGGTCCGACAATTCAGACTGTTATTTGGAAGTCACCATCACTTGGTTCCGTTATCAGCTATAGAGAAGGTGCAGGGGAGTTTGCTCGGCCAAAACGCTCTGTAAACGCATGCACACTGCTTCCAGTGGCTGCTTGGGATTGACTCACCCCTCCGCCCTCGGAGGAGAGAGCGAGCAGTTAATAAGGATAACGGGCGGATGAGTCTTGCAATATCTATGAGAGCAAGTTGCGAAGCTACAACAAGCCACGAAATAGGCGGCAATCGTTTGCATTGGAAAGTTCGGGTATTAGAATCTCGAATGCAGCTGACTGTATCAGGCATCTTTCCCACTGGAAAACGTGAGTGTCCTCGAGATGCGTAGCTGTGGCGATATGGCAGATGTTTCATCTAAATACTGAAACCATTTTCCACTCCATTCGACTGTTACTGTCGCTGTCGATGCGTTCCAGGGGTAATTTAAAACGTCAGTCTCAGTCCGACGATCAAGACTCCTCAGTCACCAACCCTTTAGAACTGTTATCAACTGTAGAAGAGATGCAGGAGTGTTGCGTGGTGGAAACTCCCGCCGTAAATGTGTGTGTACTATAAATACCGACTGCTTATAGTTTACGGCCTCTAGGAACTGACAGTGTCAAATTAATTAAGACACGGAAATAATAGGACTGGAACAAGCAGTTGAAGGGGTTTGGGAATTCAAGGAAGTGTTGATTGGGAGTTTTTCTTCCATAATCTACAAGCTTTCGCCTTTATATACTTTTGCAGTCATCACAAACCAATGATCGTACATAGGGAAACAGCATTTATTGGGTGACGAAGTGCATGAGCTGATGGTGGGATCCTCAGTATTTTGTGTTAGGCACACAGTTAAATGTTAATGCTACAATCGAGGGTACTTATTCAAAAGATAGTCATCCCAATCATACAAGTAGCACATCTTTAACCCACGCATGTGCAGTTCATGCTGGCGTCAAGGTCATTGTATATTCGATGGCGGAAACCTATGCGCGTTTGCATATATGTCAATTCAAATATTCCGATGAGTTTAGCGAAAGTAGTATTAGCAGAAAACTAGATGGGGGATTGCGGGCCTGTGCTTTCGTAGTTCACAGTAAATCTTTTCTCAACAGTTTGTGACCTCAAAATCCCCGCCCCTCATTCAGTCTCCAATCTTGAAAAGCAGTAGTGCAACCGTATTCAGTTTGGGCATGATTGACATCTTGACGGCTTCTGTACAGCCGAAATCTAAAGCGACACTTCATGTGGTGCAGTCAATGATGTAGGTCTGTCATAATGGACTAGCCGCCTTCTGAAGGAAGCCAATATACGCCGTGCGGAACTTTAACGTCTTTACTAGCAGCAACCAAACCAACTGACTAAGGCTGTCTACAATTGCAGGAGTGGTAATAGGAAGGACAGTCTGTCCTTTCACAAATTCTAACTTCGGCCGTGTAGTGATTCATCGGTTCTTCAGCTGTCATCACTAGGAAGGAATCTCTGCAGGGAAGCTAGCATGTAGTGGATTAAATGCGTTGTCGTTTCTTTGTCAGGAAACACCCAAGACACTATAGCGGCAAAAGTCTGATCATTTGTGTTACACCATATCGCGAAGTGCACAATACAAGCGGAAAGGCGGATTTAAAAGATATTTAAGTGTGCAGTGTTGTGCTCTCAGCTGCTCACACTCCCACTCTTAAACGGCAAATCGAAAATAGCAGTATTTCAGTCTTATCAACCTTTGGAATGAATATTATTTTATTTAGGTTTAGTGGAAAATAGTTCAGCAAACTTCACACATTGACAGTGGAGACGCAGCCATCATATACATTTCGTGGGGTAAAGTGAATGCACCAAATCTGCCTTAATGTACTATTCGCCTGCTCAAATAGGGTGGTGTACGCCGTACAAGACGTTCATTACTTCACCAGCGGTAACCTAAACGAAGGTACCAAAACAATTGAGTAAAGCTATCAAACTAGTGCAAGAAATAACGTATTTGTGCACGTCTTCTATAAAATATTTTTGAATTCATAAGACCTGAGATAGCCATTGAGAAAATGCAAACTATATACGTATCTATTTTTTGCAGAATATACTTTTTACAGTCGGTTATGAAGATGCTCGGCGTGGTGACGTTAGTAAAATTATATCAGGCTGTGCGTTATCAGTATTACAACCCGAATTAAGTAATTTGTTCAAATCGAAACCACATTTTAGCATTTCGGTTGACATTTCATGAGATTAGGAATTTAATGTACTTTTGCAGTCATCACAAATCAACGATCCTGCATAATTAAAACAGCATTTAGCGGACGAAATACAGGATTGCTTGATCGTCGATATCTCGATATTTTTTGTGAAGCACACAATTATAAGTTCAGGTTACACGTGCAGATAATTTAAATATGCAGTCGACAGGAAGGAAAACTAAATTGCGCGTTTTGAATTGCCTCAAAAAATTCGTCCGGGGAGTGAGCAAGGAGTAAGTTTAACGGAATAATAAGGACCATTTTCTACTCGACTCTTTCATTGCTGTCACTGTTGATGGGTTGGAAGGTGAGTTAAAAACGCCGAAGAGTTTTCTCTTTGGCTGGAATAAACCGTTAACTAAGTTTAATTTTATTTTGCAAGAGTACGAGGCACTCCATTTGCAAATCCTGTCATTAAAGTTATGAGCACACATCGACAAAATTATAACGAGGGGTTCCAAGGCAAGACAGTCCCGTGTTAACAGACTTGATCACCATGCAGATCTCACTGTACGTTATGAACGCTTTTAGTTGATTCCACCTACTGTACCGTGTCGGGAACATTAAACAGAGTTGGCTGCCTGATTATTGCTCGTCAGATTTCCAGCAGTTTTTTATTTGCGAGTGACGTATGCTAGCAGAGCAGCGACATGCGGCTAGAATTTAAGTGCATTTTTACCTACTAACTGCGTCCTCAATCCCGCGGATCATTGGTGCGTATGGTTTCATTCAGAACAGATGAAAGCAATTCCCTTGACGCAAGTTATTTGCCTCACGATTGAGAAATTTACCAGTATAAGAGCGCTGCAGTTACAAAGACAATCATTGCGTTGACCAAGGTAATGGCAGTCCTGGATGGCTGGGCTTTGCTTTTGATCCACTTTTGTCGATTTTCAGTGCCAAATGCCGCCTCGGCTTACAAAGTAGAATAACCTGACTGTTTAACCTAAACACCTCGGGAGAAAGGGCATTTACCTATGTCCCACTTGTCAGGATAATTTACAGAGCCTCTCAACTAGGCGTTCACATTATCCCTAAAGCTTCGATGGTGGATTCATCACCCTAGGAGATCTCAACCATTCCCTCTCGGTGATCTCATATGAGATCACTTAAAAATTAAGAGCTTTCGTAATTATCTGTCTATATATACGCATATTTATCCTTCATGCTATATCTATTAGGCATATTTCTCTGATATCCACATGAGATTTTTAAAAAAAATTCGCTCTATTTCATCGTGTTTCTCACGCTTTTTTTACCATAGGTATCCAAGTTTCATAACAAAAATCAAAGTGGTTAAAATTATGGGATGTAAGGGGTTAAGTCCTTCGCAGATTCAGGTTTACTAAATGAGTGTAGCCTTCACTTAACATTTTGTACCTGCTGAATTCACCAGTAGATCCCGTGACATAGGCATCCACAGTTATTGCTGCCTGATCATCTACAGTATTATCAAAATTATGTCAGGTGGTAAGTTTTGCCCTTTTCGTTGGTTTCCTAAACATTTACATTATTTACATCACCTTTGTCTTTTGGAGGCCGCAGGCGTGCTTATCCTCAACTCTAAA